CTCTCTCAAATAAATAAATAAAATCTTAAAAAAAAAAAAAGAAAAAAGAAAAAAAAAGAGTGTACTGTTTAATTTCCACAGATTTGTGAATTTTCCACTTTTATTTCTGTTGATTTGTAACTTCATCCCACTGTGGTCAGAGAAGATACTTTGTATGCAGTCTGAGACTTAATTTGTGACCAGATATATGATCTGTCTGGAAAGCTCCCATGTGTACTTGAGAAGAATGTGTATGCTGTTGCTGTTGGGTGGAGGGTTCTGTGTAAGTCTGTCTTACCTAGTTGGGTCTATTGTGTTAAGTACTCTATTTTCTTACTTATCTTCCGTCTGGTTGTTCTACTGTTTTTTTGATTGATTTTTAAAAAAGATTTTATTTATTAGAGAGAGAGAGGGAATATGCAGGAGAGGAGACAGCACAACCAGGGGGAGGGAAAAGCAGATTCCCTGCTGAGCAGGGAGACTGATCATGATCATGACCTGAGCTGAAGGCAGACACTTAATGGACTAATCCACCCAGGTGCCCCACTGACTGACTGATTTTTTTTTTTTTTTTTAAAGTAGGTTCCACACCCAGCGTGGAGCCCAGTGTGGCTTCAACTCACAACCCTGAGATCAAGAGCTGGATGCTTAACAGATTGAGCCACCCAGGTGTCCCGGCACTCTGAATGTATCAGTCACTGCCTTCTGGCCTCCAAAATTTCTGATGAGAAATCTGCTAAAAGTCTTGAGGATCCCCTGTAGGTGACAAGTCACTTCTCTCTTGCTGCTTTCAAGATTCTCTATTTGTGGCTTCCAAACGTTTGATAATTTTGTGTCTTGCTGTGGGTCTCCGAGTTCATCTTATGTCTCTCAACAAATCTGGGGAATTTTCAGCCATTATGTCTTCAAATATTCTCTATGCGCTTTTCTCTATCTCTTCTTCTGAGACTCCCACAATGCATCTGTTGGCACACCTGATAGACTCATAGTTCCCATAGGCTCTGTTCACTTTTTTCCAATGTCTTCTCTTTCTGTTCCTCAGATCCAATCATTTCCATTGCCTTATATCTTCAAGTTCGTGGGTTCTTTCTTCTATCTATTCAAATTTGCCTTGAATCTTTCTAGTGAATATTTCATTTCCATTATCGTACTTATCAGTGCCATAATTTCTTTTCAGGTTTTCTATCTCTTTATTGGTATTTCCATTTTGTTCATACATTGCTTCCCTGACTTTTTCAACATCTTATAGTTCTTTGAGCATCTTTGGGGCAGTTATTCTTAAAATGCTTGTCTTACAGTAAATCTATTTTTTTAAAGGACAGTTCATAGATTTTTTCCTCTGAATGGGCAATACTTTCCTGTTTCTTTGTATGCCTTATGACTTTTGTTGGAAACTGCATATTAAGTCAACTAATGTACTAACTGTAGACATCAGATTCTTTCCCTTCCCTGGGATTTGCTGTTATTGTTTTGATTGTTGTAGGCGGTCTCTGTGCCAAAAAATCAGCCTAAGGCATAAACTGAAGGCTTTTTCAGGTCTTTTCTGAGCCTGTGCCTGTCCCCAAGTATGTGCAGTCCTTTTCTAATTTTCCCAAATATTCAGCTTCTTTTGAGTGTCCTAGAGTCTAAAGTTAGGCTCTCAAAAGGGGGAAAAGAGAAAATGAAGGGAGCAGGGAAGGGTGCTGACTTTTTAAAAATTCCCTAGGGGTCAGCCACTTCAGCTGGAGGGAGAGGGACTTACAACAGTGGGGGAAGGTGTGACGACACAGGCTGCCTCCTCCTTCATCTGCACCTCTGATCAGAGGCAGCAATCAGTGATCCCTGATTTTAGAGGATGGGGTCTATTCTGCTCACCTTGGCACCTATAAGCTGCCCAGAGGCTGCGTCAAAACCTGTGTGCAGCTACCTGTTAGGCTGCTGAGTAGCTGCTATTATGCTAAGAGCTCAAACTTACTGAAATTATCTTCACTTTAAGTCTATGCCTCCCCCGTAAGTAAAAAGTTTTCAAAAAGACTTGAGAGTTCCAAAATAGTTTATACCAGACAGATTCTGCCAGTGCGATTATTACGTAGGTGGGGAGAGAGATTCCTGGTATGTCCTGTTCCACCATCTTCCCAGAATCCTCTACCTAGGTCTTCTTAACTACTTTTTCTAAATACTTAGCTCAGAGTTGGCACTTAGAAAGTAGTGGCAAATAGATAAATTAGTAAACAAATTTATTTAGTTATCTGAATCTATTTCCTAACTGAGCTTCAAACAGCAAGGGATACCTGCTTTTAGTCATTTGGATTTCCTTTTCCATCTATTCATATTTTTTGCCCATTTCCCTACTGGATTGTTATTTTCGTAACAATACATAAATGTTCTTTATGTATTTTGGATACAAACCAAATTATGTGTGTTAAAAAATATCTTCTGCATATCTGCACCTTGTCTTTTATTTATATTTTGATGTATATACATTTTTATTTTGAAGTAGTCAAATCAATTTGGGTTTTGTATCTTTAAAAAATCGTTCTCTACTCGACGTAAATAAAATTCTCTTGTAAATAAAATCTAAAAGTTTCCAAGTATGCTTTTTTACATTTAGACTGTAAATCTACCAAGTATATAGTAATGAGATAGATATCTTGTTTTCTTTTTCTATGCCATTCTTAAACCACTTCTTCACTGGTATTTTATACTATTTTTATTATACATCAACTTCCAATATTCTTGCATTTATTTCTTCACTCTATACTTTGGTTCTACTGTCCTTATTAAGCCAGTGATCTTAATCTAAAATTATACACAAATTTAGCATGTATCTGAACATCTGTACCTTTTCTAAGGGGATATAGGTTTCAGTGGAATTCTAAAATAGAGCATGCAATCCAAAAAAAGGTTAAGGAGTACTCTTCAAAAAGAAATGGTTATTCAACACTAATGAGAAGCAACCTCTAATAAAAAGGGATTGAAACCTTAAGCATTTTAAAAGGGGCTGTGGAATCGTACTTAAAGCTTTATACACATTAACAGAAAAGAGTTTCTCCAGGATGGTTTGATTAGTCACAGTCCTACTTGGAGGGAAGGGAATGAAATAAATAACCCTTTCAAAGTCTCTTAAAGGCTGAAAAGTCCCCATAAAATCATAGAATTTAGAGCTGGAATGAACCCTAAACATCACCTGATATAAACTGCATTTCTGGATGAGAACACTGACAATCAAATGACTTGGCCAGGATCAGAAATCTTGTTTAACGGCAGACCTGGGAATGAAAGTCAGGTCACTGCATTCACAGTACACTGTTCCTAGTGTTATAGCACACCATTTCTAGTCAATGGTGGAGCGGAAGGCGTGGCAGGGGGGCTGGAGAGGAGGCAATGAAAAGGACAGAAATGAACAGCAGTACGACACTGCAGCAAGCACACACACAAAATATATTTAAAGCCTCATACATTTATGCATGGAGCAATGTGGAGACTATTTTTAATCCTAACTACAACTCTATCTTGGCAAAAATATGCCAATGGCCTTAAAAATGATCTTACCCTTCTTTGCTCAACCAATCCCTCCACTCCAAAGAAATTACTCTAAGAATTCAACTGGAAAATAAAGTAATCACAAATACATTTATAGTAACCTTACCTATTAAAGCAAAAAACCAAAAATAAAGCAAACAAAAAATCCCAGAATACATTTTGCAAAAAAATTGTACATAAAATTACAAGGGCTTATATAAAAATTAATTTAGATTTATCAAGTAGTGTGATCATGGCTGGTTTTTCCAACTTCTATTAAATTCCTCCAGAATAACTAAATCACTGTGATCATTTTACTTGTTAAAACAAAATATAGATAGAACAAAAAGTTAATAGTTCTCCCTTGCCCCGCCTCTGTGCTCATAAACATATATACCCATGAGTGTTTGGCTATCCATTACAGAAATCACATAGTATATATTTCTCTGCAAATTATTTTTCACTAAAAATACTTCAATATTGATTATCTTCCCCAGAAAACAGTTCATCCTTTTTTAACAAGGACAAAATGCTCCATATATAAACATATGGAGTATGATGTATTCAACCATTTCTTTATCCTTATTGATGGAATGGACAGTCAGGTTACAATTTTTTTCCTAGTAAAATGCTGCAATAAATGTCTTTGTACATCTCTCCCTGTACATGGATGCTTTTCTTCTTACACAACAGATTCTCAGAAGTGGGGCAGAAAGAGCAAAGGTTTATGTTTATGTATTTAATAGTGAGATGCCTTCAGAATTTGAAATTACCAATAATAATGTTTCCTTTTCTCTACACCCATTCTAGCATTGGATATAAACTCTTTTTAATTTTTACCAACTCGATAAAAGTTCCCTCTAGTTTTGGGGCGCCTGGGTGGCTCAGTTGGTTAAGCGACTGCCTTCGGCTCAGGTCATGATCCTGGAGTCCCGGGATCGAGTCCCGCATCGGGCTCCCTGCTCGGCAGGGAGTCTGCTTCGTCCTCTGACCCTATCCCCTCTCATGTGTTCTCTCTCTAATAAATAAATAAAATCTTTAAAAAAAAAAAAATTCCCTCTAGTTTTTAAAAATCTGATGCCACTGAGCTGCATGTCTTGCTTTACCTTTGTTTTCTGTTTCTGAATCCATCTTTCCAGTGGATTTACCTAAGTACTTTATTGGTTTGTTTACAGAATCAGCTTTTATTTACCCTTCTACATTTTTGTTAGTTTTCTACTTCATTAATTTTAACCTACTTTTTTGTTCATTTTGTTCTTCCTTTTCCTAACTTCATAAGGGAAATACATTCACTTTTCCGTTCTTTTAGAATAAAAGTATTGGGGCTCCTGGGTGGCTCAGTCAGTTAGGTGTCTGCCTTCAGCTCAGGTCATGATCCCAGGGTCCTGGGATCGAGCCCCATGTCGGGCTCTCTGCTCAGCAGGGGAGTCTGCTTCTCCCTCTCCCTCTGCCTGCCGCTTCCCCTGCTTGTGCTGTCTGTCAAATAAATAAATAAAATCTTAAAATAAAATAAAAGTATTTAAGGGTTACACATTTTGCTCTCAGTACAGCTTTAGGTGTGTGTGATGGGTCTGGACTGAAGTATTTTTTTTTTTCATCACTTGTTAGATAATTCAAATTATAAATCACTTAGCAAGAAATGAAAGGGTAACATTCCTGACCAAGAACAGTTAATTTCCAAAGCACACTGTAAATTCCCTCAGCTGCCAGGAGTTCCAACAAAGATCAAACCAATAAATTTTCTATTAAACTAGACTCTCATCTTTTTGTATTCTTTATATACTGATTCAAGATCATACCTAGTATCTTAGTCCTTACCAGAGATGTCCAATTTCTGTACAATTCTGTTTCTATCACTGATAGTACAAAAGTAGAAAATCGACTCATTTTGTGAATGTAGGGTGGCAAACAGTTAAATGCCAGATCAATAGTCGTACAGTTTCTAACAAGCTCTTCTTTAAGACCTCTATTCTGATATTCTGTCTAAACATTTTTTGCATCGCTCACCTGCTGCAAACCCTGAGTCCCAGACACAGGTACTTGCATGATGGTTTGACCTTGTCCACCAGGGACAGCTTGAACCATGATGGGCTGACCAGTTGATGTGATTAATTGGCCTCCACTGACCTGTACCATTAATGGTTGCCCCTGGACCTAGAAAGAAATAAAATAACAATGAAATAACGTAAAATGGTTTTTACCAAAAGATAATCACTGGAACTATTCTGCTGCCTTGGTAGAGGGGGAAAAGGTAGAAAAGACACTAAGAGAAGAAGTCTCAAGTCCCTGTCTTCAAGTTATCTTCTTCAAAAACACTCTATCTTTGACCAAACACCAAGTTGAATACTTTAAGGTCACATATAATGAAGTATATCCAGGGTCTTTAGGAAGTCTCAACAGATATAAGGCATTTGTCATCAAATACAGGCTAAATCTACGAGAAGCACTCAATCAAAACATCCAGACTATGGGCCTTTTGAGACTAATATTCAGGAATAGTTTCTAGTGAAGGCTGGAGAGGAGGCAATGAGAGGGAGGGCTGATGGTGGTGATGGTGGTTGAGTGCAAATTCTAAATAACCTGGAAGGAATAAATCAAACTACCCAGCAATGACTCCAGGAGGCTGGGCAGCAAGCAGCTCTGGAAGCTTATGCAGAAGACCCTTTCTCCCCATAGTCTCTCAAGCATAAATGAAATACACAACTTTTACCCTCTACCTCACTCTGGGAATTCTAGTCCTGTGGTTGTTTCAAGAGCCCACTAGGGAAGGCCTAGAAATATCTTCTGGTCAGTTTTCAAGCTCTGTGGTGAATTCCTCATACTGGACCCTGAATATCTACATAGTTGTTTTAGTTTTACCAGAAACAGTGATAAATATGGGAATTATACACTCAAGTGTATCAAAAAACTCCCAATTTTCCAGCTCCTATGAGTAAATGGACTACTTTAGAAGCCAGGGCATTATACGTGCTCTATAACACCTTGAATCCCAATATAAAAATACCTAGCTAACTGAATGCATTCTGGAAGCCGGAAAAACAAGCCACGTTAGAAATGAAATGGAATGTTCAAAAGAATAGCTGCAAGTCCAAAATTTCATTTAGATTCTGCCCTTGTTTTGAGAAATTATTTGTAGCAGAACACAAGAATATTCATAGGACTAAAATATTCATGCTTAATGCCCTTGAAAAGTGTGTTCGAATAACAGTAATTGGTTAAAAGATCAATCTTCCCTAGATGAATAGATTAGATAGTAAGACCCCCTCTTCTTCACCACCACCACCACCACCAAATGCATCAGAATCCTCAGGAATATTTAATTCCCAAGTTTTATAAACTGTTCGTTGAGAAATTCCACTTTACTTTTTAAAGGACTTTACAATCTGATTCTCTCATGCCTTCTCCTTTCCTTATCAAATTAAATTCCCTTTGCTACACCAATGTTTGCATGTACTCCATCAGAAAGGATTCTGAATAGTTATTAAATGAATAACTGAAAGAAGTATTAAAAATTCTCCAAAATAATGAGACCTCTAGAGAAAACGCTTTCATCATTTCCGTATAAAGTGTTCCCATCTCTTTTAAATAAAATCTACATAAGTAAGAAACAAGTTTTAAGGCCCAACTGTTCATAAGTTTCTGGCTACCCATCATCTTGAACTTCTCCCCTCACTGACACGTTAAATGTGTACATGATAAACCACCTGAGACTCCAAGGAGCCCACTGCATTTACAACACATGAATGATTACAAGGACACATGCATCAGACAAGAAGCCATACGGTTAAGAGCATGTTACATTCCCATTCCACAAGTGGTTAATGACAATACTGTTTTATGTATCAATAAGATGAAGCAAGCATGAAAAACATGAAGAACAAGCTGCTGAACTCTACGATTTGAACATATTTAGGAGTACCTACAAGCTCAGCTTTTTTCAGCCTAATTTATGTTCAGAACTGACAGTGTATCACCATCAGACATTACAGGCGGGAGGTGTCGGGATGGGGTTGAAAGGTTAGGGTGAAATGATTACGATGAGGGGCAGGTAACTGCCGGATGCTTAGCAGCACTGAAATGAGACGTCAGTTCTACATTCCTGGTCCTACCTTGAATCATTTCCATTCAATGGAGGAAAAAGGCAGGGCACTCAAATTTTGCCAATTTCTCAAAAATAGAGTAATTTTAATCAAAGTAACCTGCAGACACAGAAAAGACTTAGGCTTCTACTCTCATTTTTACATAGGAACTGGCCAAAATATAACCCCAACTAAGGATATTTAGCTTGGCCATATAAAAAGTTAGGGAACTGCTCTAGTTAAGTAAGAATTCTTATAGTGGCTGTAATACCTAAGACTTATAGAAAGCATATTTCACCTTTGTCTGGCGAAGAGGTATAGGGTAATCTTTGCAAATCTAGTAATAAAACAGGTCATGGTTTCCTTAGGAAAGGTAGTGAAAAGGCAGCAGTTAAGAGATTAACAAGATTCACTGATTAGATAAACCTTGCCAAGTACAAGGATTATTTTGCAGCCGAGTTGCCCTTTTAATAAAAATAAAGCATAATCTAACCCTAGTTATTTTTTATTCCACTATTAAAATACAAATCCACGGAATTTTACCGTGCATTCTGATTACAGAGCTTTAGCTCTAAATAGATTCTAATGCCACTTGTAAGAATTTCTTCCTGTCACTTGCACCATTTCCTTCCCAAAGAAACACAATTGCCAAATTCAATTTTCAGAAAACTGATACTGGGGTCACTACATGACTAGGCATGAAACATGAGGAGACTGGAATCTTACAAGCCTCAAAGACAAGTTAACAGCATCAAAAACATGCAATTGACTTTGCCATTCCTCCTTGAGATCCTACCACAAATAGCACCAGACATGAGGACAGGAGAAGTTCATGCAGTGCTTACAGAGAATCAGAGAGGGCACCACTACCTGGAGGGTCTGGACTTGCTGGCCTGAGGCGGATGCCACCTGGGCCTCAGTCTGCAACTGGACAGCAGTGACACCACCCTGCTGCTGAGAACAGGAACAGGAAGAGCTTGAAATGTGTCAGGAAGGAAATGTAGAGTTCAAGACATGAGATCACCTTACCTCTTGTGGGAGAGGGAGGGAGTCTTCTTTTAACAGTCCCACCCAACAGAGGACTCTCAAACTGTACAGACTCCCTATACTGAAGCTATTTTGTTGCAGGTAGCAGGATTAAAGATATTAGCCCTTTGTCCCCAGAGTGAAACTCAAAACACATTTCCATGACTCAAAAACAATAGTTGTCATCATGAACACAAATTTTTTTAATGTAATCCTTCCCTCCAGAAATAAGCATTTGATCCTTCTGCTTAGGGTTATCTTAATGCTTTTTATTTCCTCAAATGAGTTCACAACAAAAAAGTTATCAGGTTTTTACAGCTTTGAAGCTACAATGAAGAATTTCTGAGACTTAAATGTAATCACCAGGTAGGAAGAATGAAGCAATCACTGTGAACCAAAATCATCTTCAGGCTGGTCACTGCTCTCAAGGCCCAAAACTAAGATTACTTCTACTCAATTGGATTACCTTAGAAGCAATGTTTTCAGTGATTTAACCTAATGTTTATATCCTCTAATGGTAAGTTCTGACCGAACAAGACTTCATCCATCAAGGTGGTGGTGTGAATAGAGGGCCCTTTGTGGAATCCCCTTTCCTAAGGAGGCAGTTGAAGGAAGCTGCCAGAGACACAGCAGCTGGGTGGAAGAAAAAGCCAGTGAAGGAGTTTAAATAATTAATTTCTTTTAATCAAGAGGTGCCCCTTCCTTTGATCATTAGATAGGAACAACTTACCATCAAAATAGCCTTTGTATTCCCTACCATCTACTTTTCTGTATTCTCTACCATCTACTATTCTGTATTCCTTTTGGAAACAAAACATGCCCCAATCTTGGCCTAAGGTCAAATCAATGCATAATAAATGTCTTTTCTTCTAGGGAGAAACACAAGTAAACTTTTACTAAAATAAAAAGCTAGGTATAGAGCATCAGAAAATGTAATCTCTGTATAAATCTAAGAAAGCAATCTATCTTATTAAGGAATAAATCAACACGGGATTCCTTTCTTGTATGTGCTTATTCATAATAAGAGTGGCTAAGTATTAACCTCATGCTGAACTACAGCTTTTCAGAATAAGCACCGTAACGTATCAAATCAAAGAACAGTGGATTTCTTGGATGCTGACTATCTTGGTTTATCCATTAAGGCCACAGACTTAAAAGATCACAAAGCTAGCTTAATGGAGAAGAGGAACTACAAAACTGAATCCAGAAAAAAACAAAAACTCCAAATTTCCATCTGAGAACAGACTAGGTTTTGACTTTTAGCAAAATGAAATGGGCAATTCAGTATTAAACCAGGCTCCCAAGAAAAGCAAATTCTATGTGGTCATGGACTGAATACAGAGCTCTGAACACATGGAACATGAGAGAAATCCCAACAAATCCAATCTTAAAAGCACTTCGGCACGAGTCACCAGACCTATTATTCATAAGATCTGGGACCTCTAAATAATTCCCCACTGAGTGGTGCCAATCCGGGCTCCATTGCTGTGCTGTTTAAAGCAGTTTTACTTCCATACCTGCTGCTGAATCTGTCCAGCCTGCACAACAATCTGCTCTGTCGAACTATTGCTGTTTGCTGTATACTGCTCCATGATCCCTCCAAGTTAGAATCCTGTCCACAGTGAGTTTCACTCAGGAGATCCTAGAAGACTGCGAAATGCACTCCTATTAGAAAGGTTGGGAAAGAAACTAAATGAGATTGTTAATAAAAGCCTCGCCAGATGATTAACATTGATTAACTTATTGCTGTGCTTTATTCGCAAGTAAACAGGGTAAGAGAATAGGAAATGTTCGTTTTTGACATCATTTGTAACCAGGATTACAAGGCACGCTCATGCCAACAATACTATAATGCCATTTCACATGTCTTGAAAGTGCTTTTAGTCATTTTTTATTGGCAGCCTTACCTTTCAATACTACCAGGGCAACACTTCCAACTTAGAAATACTCATGAAACTACAATATCATGTCGTTACAAGGTCTATTTAACACTGGTTTTAAGGTCTGCCTGTGTATTTTAGAGGATATACAGTTTCTTTATTTTATAGCACATACTTGCTGCCTGCCAATGCAATACCAAAAGTGTCACTCTAGTTCGCTACACATGGTCTGCAGTGTAAAACTTCACGGCTTATTATTTAGTAAGGAAATGACCCAGACCTGAAGTCAACCATTTTGCTTATCAAAATCTCCATTAAGTAGTATTAAGAAAGCTTGAGTGAAGGTTTAGGAATTTGCATTTTAATCCAGGGCAAGGAATAAGATGTTATACTAACGGCAAAAATAATGTTTATAGATTAAATAGAAGAAATTTTATATGACATATTAAGGCTACGAGTTTCTCTAAAATCTGCCTTCGGCTCAGGTCATGATCCCAGCATCCTGGGATCGAGCCTCACATCGGGCTCCCCGCTCAGCGGGAGGCCTGCTTCTCCCTCTCCCACTCCCCCTGCTTGTGTTCCCTCTCTCGCTGTTTCTCTGTCAAATAAGTAAATAAAAACTTAAAAAAAAAAAAGTTAAAACTACATAATAAAGGGTAGGATATAATTAGACCTATTAAGTATTCAAATGCAAGAGTGGGGGAAACTTAACGACTGAGCCACCCAGGCGCCGTCACTTTAACTTTCTTTATGGCAATTTCTAAATCTGTGTAATAGTGATAGGGGCGGCCTAGGTGGCTCAGTCGGTTAAGTGTCAGACTCTTGGTTTTGGCTCAGGTCGTATGATCTTAGGGTTGTGAAATCGAGCCCCGCTTTGGGCTCTGGGTACAGCATGAAGTCTGCTTAAGATTCTCTCTCTCCCTCTCCTTCTTCCCCTACTCCCATTAGTGCACTCTCTCTCTCTAAATAAATAAATCTTAAAACGATTCTCTCCCTCTTCCCCTCCCCTTGCTCATGTGTGTGTGCAAATAAATAAAATCTTAAAAAAGAAAAAAAAAAAAGAGTAGTGAAAACATTATTAATGAACCCCCGCAGCCATCTCCAATTCTTATACCATGGTCAATCCTGTTTCACACATCTCATCCACTTTCTACCCACCCCTGAATTATTTTGAAGTAAATGTCAGACACTATATGATTCCAAAATGCTGTAAATACTCTGGCATCTATCTCTAAAGAGGTAGGACTCTTTGTCTTTACCGTATCACAATATTGTCTCTACATTATCATTTCAAACATTAGAAAATGAGTAAGTCCCTAAATATTATCAAATATCCAGGCCTTGGTCAAATTAACCCTTCTCACTTAAACACTCCTTTAAAATAAGGACATAATTAGATAAATGGAAATGGTATTTGAGAATCTTAGACAAACCTGATTCAAAAATTTAAAATTATACCAACTACCAAAGGGTAATTCACCCTGGAAGTATGGGAAAGGTACAGGTATATATAAGTAAAATGTAGATAGATCTTTGCCCCCAATTTTTCTCCAGGCCTTCATAAATTCTAAAATCTGAACGATAAAGTTATGTGAGCTAAAATGAACCGCACATTATGTCAGCAAAGAAATGCACTACTCTCCATAAACCCGCACATGGTAGATGAGATTAATCACTTGTAAACTGTCTCAATATGGTGTGAGAGAAATAAAAATACATCCCAGTGCATGTGCAAGTATTTAGGAAGAAGTATATTTAGGTCTAAAATTCACTCTGAGG